TGTGTGTAAGTAGGGGTAAGGATAGGGCAAGGGAGAGAAAGGAAAGATCGTGCGCAGTCCGTGGCCCTTATGTTATGGTACTGCACCGGCATTCGGCTGGTGTTGATCGGAGAAACCACAGAAAACTGTCGATCAGAGCAGCCGGCGGCTAGAATTCTCCGCTAGAAAGCGCGCTGGGGCTGCATTCACCTAGCTAATTAGTGTCAAAAATCCTGCCACCGTCGGGATTTAAATCTAGGACCTCCCAGTCAGTGGCCCTGCAATGACATCTGTTTATGTCCTGAGTTAGCTTTGCCAGTCGCGTTTTTCTTGAAATCCCTGAAACTGTACTTAATACGTAATAATGTCCAGCGCTGCAAATGGGAAAACGTAATATTAAGAAGTGTTGGCGAGTTCTTTAGAATTCCAACTCGCTTTGTATCAGCGAACCAAGATATTGACGAACTAGCTTGCGCCTGCTCTTCCTGTGTTCACCACCGGGGCCGTCAATCGCCATCATCGACTGTTTTGCCACATATTATACAGGCACTCGCAAAAACTTAGTCGGCCCCAAAGACTTGACATTTGTTTCTCTATGCACGTCGACGCGGTGAATTCCAAACGGAAGCCAAAATTGCGCGATTCGCCTCCATTTCTTTAAGTCAAAAAAATTGTGTAATTTTAGATTGTATTTGTCGCAAAAATACGTTGCGTATGGAATATTATTCATTTTGCGATAGAATTTTGCTTACATTTGCAGGAAAAATTTGAATAGGAAGCATACTACACATACCGAACTTATTTGTTAGAAATACCAGGGAGTTTAAGAATTGTTCAGACGCAGATATTTTGAAAAGTTTGGATTCGATTTACGTTTGTTTTTTAATGCAACTCCCCAAATTGGTTTGGCAAATGAAATAATAGGCATAACCATTGTCTTATGTAAATGTAACTTTGCATGAATGTTTAGTGAAGAAGAGTATTTAACAAGAGCAAATAGTTGATGCCATCTTTTACTTGCTAAGGAAATTCTGTTAGTGATATTATTTCGCCAATGGCGTCTCCTGTCAACTCTCCCAAGTATTTAACCGGTTCGGTTTACGAAGGTCACTTTGTTGCTTCGTTAGGCAGCGGATCATTGTAATAACGCAACGAGAAGATTTTTGTTTAGCTTTTTGATGAATTTAACTTTTAATGTGCTACTTTTTTGCCCATATGTCTACCAGACTATAATGATTTTGAAGCGTCGAAATTGTTGCTATATTTCCACCAAGGCTGTACAATAAAGACTCGTCGGCAACTGCAGCGACTGAAGTGTCAGCAGTTGACAGAAAATCAGAAAGAAGTTGAAGGGGCGGGAGAAGTGCAGCTTCTGAGGGGCGCCTCGAGCCAAGAATTGATTCGCCTGCTGCGCCTCTGCGTTGTTGCCGGCGCCGTCGCCACCTGGCGGCGCGATATTAAACATTCCTCGCCGGAGCCCTGCGCCGCCCTCGCCGCCCGAGCGCTCCGCCGGGCTCCGCGGAGGGGAGTGGGGAGGCGGCGTGCAGGCGATTGGTTGGTGCTGGTTGCGGGCGCGGGGACGGCTAAGGTCACTCGCCCACGAAGTGAAGTGCATGTTATTACCTCGGGAAGAGGCGGTGATCTTACCTCGTTGAATGGCGCCGACCTATGTCGGCTTTCCGAATTTTCCCCAACCAGGTATTTCCCACCAGCGGGGCACCGCCCCAGCCGAGACAAGATCTAAGCTCCCGACCGGTCTCCGGCATGTCTGTTTGTGTAGTGCATGTGAGTGTAAGTGTGTGTAATGGGTGAAGATGATAAGGGAGAGGAAGGGAAGATCGCGCATGGTTCTTGGTCCGTTTGTTAGGGCACTTCTCCGGCATTCTCCTGGAATTGAACGGAGATACCACGGAAAACTATCGATCGGTCGCTAGAATTCTCCTCCAGACAACGATCGAATTCGACGAAGCTCACAAGCTAGTGTCAAAAATCTTGCAACTGTCGAGACTCGAACCTAGGACCTCCCGGTTAGTGGCACTACAGTCGTGCCTTTCAGGTTCTGTTCATGCGCACATGTTGATCATCTTGGAATGAAAATTATGGAAATGGCCTTAAAACACGCGTTGTGATACTCTAAACTAATATTGACTCTATTTTGGAGTCTACATAAGTTAAGAAAAATCTGTACGTTCCACTCACAGAGCAACAGAGTATGGTTTGTTTAACATTCCAATGTAGGTGAACATAACTTTTGCGAAATGTTTTTTTTTTTTACTTTTATAGTTTTTTTTTTAATATTCCAAAAATTAATAAGGAAAAATTCATAAATGTACATGTACTATTCTGTACTGTACGACCCGTACATGCCAATTCATTTGTGTATTGCAATCTCGGAACTTGTAGTATTGTAAATGTGTGATTTTCTGTTTCAGAATGGAAGAGATTGTTCGCTCAATGCTGCAGTACAAGTCGAAAGCTGAGCAGCTGAAACAAGAGAAAACGACCCTGACCGTTGCGTACGAGGTGCGTTTCTCCTTTGTCTTTTCTCTGCTTCCCTTTCAGGAATATCACAAGGAGATTTCGTCATCCGTGGAGACAGACAGGAGATCGCACATGGTCTGCTTTGCACACGTGATTAATAAGTGTAGCTTATCTCTGTCTAGCACTTGTAACCTACACATTGACCATGCGATCTAATAACTTAAACACAAATTATCTCACAAGATATTGTTAGTATTTGAGTAAAATATGAGTTATTATTAAATTCGTTAAAAGAAATATAAATGATTTACCTATTGTAGAAACAAAAATTCACTTTTCGAGTCCAACAATACGAATTTACCTATAAATATGTGTCACTTTTGTTCAACGCAATTATGCAAATTTCTTTTATATCTTATACAATAAATAGGAATCGTATTTTTGATGACCTAAAAATCACGAAAAATGACTAAAAATGTTTTTAAATTGTCTAGAAGCACAGAAAAATGATGTAAAAAAATCACAACCAATTCAGATGAACAACTCAAGCTGTTGGAAATGTTACTGTTTTAATGGAGGCTTCTTCCTTTCAACTAAGTAAGCTTGCAAACTTTTGGTCGGGACTGTTATTTACCGGGGAATCGGGGTCTTTAGTTATCGGGAAATCGGCCGAAACATAAATCGATGGATTACATACAAAGGCTGACGTTGCATCGCGTAATCATTATTTGATACAAGTACCAGTATAATCTATTAAATTTGGGAAAAATGCTTTGAAAGTGACGGGTAAAAGGTAAAAAAGGCTCATTAGTAGAAATAGGCGAAAAATGCACAGAAAACTCTTATAAAAATTGTTCATTTCCTTTTGTCATAACAGAAAATGAAGGTCTATACTAACGGACATTGTTCTAAAGTAAAAAGAAAAACTGCCATTCATTAAAATCCGTCCCTAGTAATAAACAAGATGCCTAATAAGAATATGAAATGCCCGTCGTTCGAACTCCCCAGTCCGCCGTCAGAAAGCGCCGACGTCGCGAAGTGTGAATCTAATGGCATGGGAACTTCTGGCAGTGGGGGTGGGGGGCTGAAGGAGGGGGAGGAGACAACGCCGCCCCTGCGCCTCCTTGGCGACGAATACGAGGCCCCGACCACCCGCCTTTCATCACTCTCTTGAACTCTTCTTGAGCGATGGATTGAAGAAATGCGGATATGAAATAGGCCACTAGATTTTATGAAGCATTGCCAATCTCTAGAGAAACAGCCGTGCCTTCGCAATGTTCTCAATAATTGGCGTTCGAACTTTCTCAAGAGTTCGAGGTATCTCCTGTGATAGGTCTCTAGCTGCTTTGGTAATTTCTTTACAATTTTTGGAGAAAATAACGGACAGAAGTTCTTGTCTTCAAAATAAAATTGTTTCTATTTCGCGCCAGTCAAGATGTGATTGAAATGTCATCAGTGCTCACTGTGAGCTTTTGCCTTCAACTGTTTATTGTGTCAGAGAGGGGGAAGCAAGGTCATCGTTCTAGAAAAATTGCACGAGTAATACTTCGATTTCAAGAGTAAATCAGCTGATACGGTGTGATCCAATCGGGAGGTTGAGCGTCACCAAAGTAACGTCGTGACGTTAAGCTCCCGATTGGATGACACCGTTACAGCTGTTGCATGTCAAATGAATCTCTAAATCACGAATATCCAACTTGCAAGGGCCAGGATTAAAACCTTTAGTATGGTCGCGGGCCATATTTTCATTACTCGTGCGATCCACACCTGACTTCCGTGTTTTGTTGATCTCGGCAGTTTGCCTGGTGCTCTAAAGCAGGGAAGATGGTAATAGAACCATGCATTATATAAGGCCATACAATGATATGCAGTGAACTACACTGAGATGATTTTGAATTTCTGAATTTAGTAAAAAAAATGTTAAATCTAAACCTAACCTATTTTACATTAAAGGGGGTGTTAAGCCTAGTAGGGCGCTATAGGCACAATATTCTCTCCTGAGATGGGTTACAATAAACAATACCATTCTCCCAATACCATTTCGCGGGCTACAATAAATGGCACCGCGGGCTGTCATTTGACAACCCTGCTCTAAATAAATCGAAGTGTAACTTCATCTCGTGCTTCCACGAAGGAACAGAAGAGTTTCCGGTGTGATCACCGCGCACAGCACATCTTAAGCGAAGTGTCTCCGCCCTGCCTTTCAGAGACACGGTTACTCGTATGTAAGGAAGGAGTGTGTCAGAAGGAGTGAAAGGAGAACAAATTTTCTTTCAAGTTGTGTGAGGGCGCTTCATGGAGCTTCACATTCAGAAGCCGATTTCACATATTCACAAATTCAGTTTTGATTTTCTGTGAAAACTTTCAATTATCTGTGTTCTTCAATATCGGCTTTTCAGTTCAGGTTTTTGTCCAATTTCCCTGATCCCTTGAGCAAATGCAAGATGGCCCCTTGTTTCGCTTCTGGACGTAAATGTACCTTCATTATGCGCACGTTTAGTTAAACTCTCCTTTTGCTTGTAGAGGTAAGGGCGAGTTGCTATTTTGTTAGCAATGCAGAAAAATCATTCTAGCAATTCGCGTACCGATGCAAATACATTTTCTTTAAATTGGAAACAAAAATTATTATTTTTCAAATATTGCTAATCTTGCGATTTTTAAACTTTATTTTTATGTTAAACGTTTACTCATCTTTTAACAATTTATAGTTAAAATGACGAGAAGGGATTCTGGAACTCAAGAAAACGTGCGCAGATAACCTTCTCCCCCTACGTCACATACAGTTCTTTTTTTTTTTTTACTGAATAAATCTAAATCTATCTTTCAATATTAATATTCTTTCTGTGAATACGTAAATATCTATAAAGTAAAAATAGTAGTAAATTCAGATTAAACTGTCATATTTTATAAGGAAACAAAGAAGGCTATTAACTCTCCCTACTCCAATAGAAAAATCTCAATGTGCCACCTCTTGATATTGCTGCAAAAGTTATTTTCTTCACCAAAGAATGTTCACTAATATAATATTTTCAATTGATTTTTTCCATTTCTCCAGATACAATGTACAAACTATATATTGAAATGGATTCTCCCTTATGAACACTGGTTTTTATATTATTTTTTACGCATCTCCAGCCCCAGCTATTCTCTAATTTATTTACCAAATAAAGGAACCACATGCTCAACATTGATATTCCTAGCTACGCTCTCCTTTATATAAACAATGTTTATTTATGTGCACACTAATATTTAATGTTTCCTCTATTGTGGCTTGCGCAGTTATTTCGTCTATTAATCAGCAAAGGAGATTCTAGTGAGCAACAGAAAACGTATCATCGTGGGTCGACATACTTTTCAATACGGAACGGCAATGACGAAAGTAATACGTAAGGAATCTTTATTTATATTCTTGTGCAGTGAAGTCACTAGAATAATAAACAAAGAAATTAAAAACATATTCGTCTTTCTGAAAAAAACGTTGTGATGAGATGAGCCAGAAAACCCCGGTTTTATTTTAACTGAAAGAACTATATCAAAGATTCATCATAGATTCGATATGTATTCAAATAGGATACCTAGAGCCAAGGTATACACGTTGTGAGAACGACCGATAAAGAAGTGATAGATCTCGTGCTTGATGACACAACTCTTCGTTTGGGGAAGGAACGGAAACTGGGCCTCGAGAACATTCCATTCAGAAAGTGTGAAGGGGGCAGTGGAAGCCGTGGCCTGTGAAAATGTTGATATAATCACTCTCTCGCTAGGCAAATAGAACGGATGTAGCAAATGAAACGGTGCGAGTATTCTTCCAGTTGAGATGGGGATAATAGTTCATTTATAGGGAAGTGGGTGACTTAAAGTAATTTTGACATGTTAAGTATTGTTAAATTAAGAAGTCAATGACATAATTTTAATTTGATTTGTACTTTAAATTAAATAGACTTCGTGCTCGAAGGGAATTTACTCGTATATTAGGATAGATCCGTGGGCGGGGATGATTTTTAGCAAGTTGCATTGAAAATAGACAGTCGCGTGGAGGCGTTCGTCCGAAGCACTGGTAGCAAGCCCAGTCGCGCTCGCCAAACAATTTAGTTGCAATTACTTAATTTTATGAAATACAAAAGAGTTTCGAATATTCCAGGGACCTTTGCAATTCTATCTTGACGTTAGGCAAGATTACGATAAGAGGGACATCAGCGAAGACATCCTACGGACGGTATCGAGCCAGAAAATGCGAAAGTCATCTGAGAAATCATCGTAGAGCGCGAAGATCATTGTAAGCCGATCAACTTTAATTGGAACTTAATAGTCCCCGAACGGAACTTTATTATTGTACATAGAAAAATTAGATCACATCATTGATGAGCTCAGTATAAATTGTAACAGTATCATAATAAATGTTATGTCCTTCTAATTGAAAAAGAAAAGGCTGATAATTTGTTGTTAGTTTCTAACAATTTAACTAGTGGTTTTAAGCAACAGAACTTCCAGAAATCACAGTTCTTTAGAGAATTGCACGTCTGCATACGACAGGTAAAAAGGTAACAAGTTGTATCCTTGATCCCATGAGCAAAAATAAAAGTAGGATAATGATAATAACGATTAAATATTAGAAACTTTACGAGCATAGCAGTTCAAAATAAACTAAAATAAATTATAACATTGTTAAAGTAATAGCAACGAAATTAAGAAAGTAAATAAGTGGAAGTAAATAGATACTTCACATTTTAGTTCCAGTTCATTTCCCATGACTTACAATCTCTACCCATACTGTAGTTTTGAATTCACAAAACAAACTAGCTACTTGAACGTCGATTGTATCCGGTTCACCTCGTACCATCGCTGATGTTGCACCATAAGCTGATCGATCCCGTCCTATTCAAGTTAGTCCTTCAATTTTTTTAAATATTGATCCTAACCTTGGGAATTATTCACCTTTATTTTGTTATTACCCTCCTTTCCAGTGTTGCCAGATAGTTGAAAAGTGATATCGTCCTGCGCCAACTATTATTATCGTACAACTTCGTACAGCTGTAATATCA